TGGACAACTCTCCATGAAGTGTGGTTAGGTTGTTGTGGCTTACAGACAAGTGCTCCTGGGTGGAGACAGAACAGGAGGAGCTCAGTGGGGAGGTGGGATGGCTTCAGGGTCCCACTGTCATCTTGTTCCATCCAGAGGGGCCCTCTGCCATGTAGGCCCAGTCCACTGCTGCAGTTTTCTTCCCTCACAGGCCCAATCTCACTGGCACACTTCCTGGGACAGGGCACTCACTCCCTCTGCCAGCTCTGATCACAGCTATTGGAATGTTCTCTCTTTGGGTTGGCTGCTCCTGGTATAGACATCCCCACAGACCCTCACTGACCACAGACCCTCTGGTGCTCCTTACCAGCTTCTGCAGGGCAGCCAGCTCCTCCGGCAGGTAGCAGAGGCCTGTGCGGTTCAGCTTCAGCCATCGCAGGCTTGTCATGGCCTTGACATTCTCAGGGAAGTAGCCACCCTGGGGTGCGGAGATATCATGGTTGAGTTGGCTGGACTGGAAGAAGGGAACACTCCCTTCTGGTGCCTCAGCTTCACCAGCCTCTGGGGCACAACAGAACCACCTCTCCCCAGCTGTGTAACCCTGAACGAGTGTTTCACATACTGTACCTCAATTTCCTTACCCATCAAATAGAGCGAATAAAAGCCCCCATGTGACAAAAGTGTTCTCAGGATAGCCCTCAATCTACTCCCCCGCTGGTTACTGATGCCCAGGTGATACCCCTCGCACCCAGCACAGGGGCTGGTCAGACTATATACCAATGTTGAGTCAGCATGGATGCAAATCCTTCACTAGCATTTCAAAGCCAGGTCCAAATCCCCATTGTGCAAGGGCCCCACCTTCCCATTCCACACAGCCTCCTTCACGGATTCATTTATTCACACTCTCCATAGAAGTTGGAGGTGTCTGGGGTAGCTGGAGTACCCATCAGTATTCCTGGCCCTGTGACAGGGTTGTGGGCAGCACATGCCATGACTGGCCAGATCCCATGACAACCACATGGAGACACCTGGTGAGGAAAATGAAGGTGGGGACAGAAGGGTGTGTGCTGGTAGGTTTGTACACATGGGGTAGATGCAGAAAGGGCCTCAGGCCTGGCTGACCCCTGACCCCAGCTAAAGCCTGGGCCAGGGATGCAGCTGCTTCAGGCCAGCAACGGTGTTTCTTGGTCCCCTCCACCATTCCAGCAGTTGCTCTCTGAGGCCACATAAGGTGGACAAACAGATCAGACAACCCCACCCAGGACTTCAAACTTATTTTACACCCTCTAAAGATTCACACCCTCGGAAACCCTGTACAGGGTCGCTATGGGTCGGAACCGACTCGACGGCACCTAACAACAACAACATAGCCTTAAAACATGGAGCTCTGGTAGCGTAGTGGTTACGAATCGGGCTGCGAACCTCAGGGTCAGCAGTTCGAAACTACCAGCTGTTCCGCGGGAGAAAGATGAGGCATTCTGCTCCCGTAAAGATTTACAGTCTCGGAAACCCTGTACAGGGTCACGATGAGTCGGAACCGACTCCACGGCACATAACAACAACAACATATACCCTTAAAACATAGTCCTGGTGTGGCACTGTGGGTTAATGTGACAGACTGCAAAGCCGTTGAAACTGCAAGGTCAGACAGAGGTTCAAGCGCACCAGTCGCTCCTCAGAAACCCTGTATAGGGTCCCTATGGGTTGGAATCACTCTTAAGCACTTAACAACAACAACATACCCATTAATAAAGGGTTTTCCGGTAGTGCAGTGGTTACGAGTTGGGCCGCTAACCTTAAGATGAGCAGTTCGAAACTACCAAGCTGTTCCGCGGGAGGAACATGAGGCTTTCTGCTCCCGTGCAGATTTACAGCCTCGGAAACCCTGTACAGGGTCGCCACGAGTCGGAACCGACACCACAGCAGACAAAAACATCCCCATGCCTCCAAGAATGCTACTTGTCTGTATGGGTGGCTCCAAGAGATGACGGTATTTGCCTGAGACCACACAGGATGGGGTGGCAGTGACAGGACAGGGCAGTGACGGCTGGGCAGGGCAAGCCGGGGCGTGAGTCAGGAGCTGACGCGGGTGTGTGGCTTCAGAGGGATGGAGGCTGGGGAGGCGGCTAGGCGGGGCCCAGACCCCGGAACTGGGCCCAGGGAGGGGCTCCCAGATAGAACCCCGTTCTCTTGGGCCAAGCCCCGGCATTACTAGTATCTGAGCGTCGCTCGCGCCCCCTTGGCCTCGGTCTGCCGAGCCGGGCCCGCGCCCAGGCCTGGGGTTGGCCACCCAGAGGGCGCGGGTGCCCCACCCTGGCCGCAGGCGGGTCCGCAGCGGGCGGAGAGGAAGCGAGGATCCACGAGCCGAGCGGAGAAGGCAGCGCGGGGCGCCACCGCGTCTCACCTTGAAGTCGTTGCCGCTGAGGTCCACCCCTCGCACGAACGGCAGCACTCCGGTGCCCTCCATGGCGATGTTCTCGCAGCGACCGGCGGTGAAAGGGCGGACCGGGCGGACGGAGGGCGGACCTAGTCGTCCCGGGCCGACTCCGCCCCTTTAACCCGCCGGCGTGCGCCGAAAGGCAGCGCCGGACCCTCGGCCGAGTGCTAATAGCCCCAGCTGGGGTGGATATTCTGCAGAGCCGACAGGTTCGTTGGCACTTCTTGTAGGGCTCCGTGCCTCAGCTTCCTCATCTGTAGAAGGCTTTCTGAGCAACTCCACATGTCGCTAGCTGCATACAGCAGACTCTCGATAAGTGGCGCGTCATTCTCAGCACTCACTTCGACGTTTGTTAGCTTACTCGTGCCATCCCCACGCCAATGCAAAGCTCCAGGAGGGAGGCTTTTTTTGTGTGCATCCGACTCAAGAGGTCTCATAAATAATTGCAGAGGAGTTTCACACCTATAATTGTGTTTCGTGTCCCCATTTCACAGAAAACTACGGTCCGGGTAAAGAAATGGCTCATGTGAGGTAACAGAGGGGGAGTGGTAGGAGTGGACTCTGTGGCCACACTGCTTGGCCAACAGGTAACATTAATGAAGCCGCTTCAGGGGCGATCTAAGGGAATTATATGAAAAGAGTCTAACTGAGGTCTACGGGGTGGCTCCCAACACAAGCACAATCGTGACCATGTGCCTCCGGGTCGGCTGCACAGCTAGGTATCGCCGCTTCTTCCTTTGCCCGGTGCGAGCACGGAATGCGGCCCTACGCCTTTAAATTAGGAGTGCGTGGGCGACGTCCCGCCCGAAGGGAGCGCTTGGGGATGTGGGGGCGTGGCCTGCCCGTTGTACGCAGAGGCTCGCAGTATTTAGGAACGTGAGCCCGAGCACCGCGCGCTCTGATTGGAGGTTACGGCCTGCTTGTCTGCGTGCCCCTGGAGCCTCGGCGTTCGGTGGCTGGTCTTCTACGTTCCATCCCGAACGGGCCAGGGATCTGGGGCTGGGTGGTCCGGCTGCTTTCTGCACTACGTGTGCCGAAGTCGCGACGCAGGTACGGACTAGAGCACAGCTGCTGTCCTAGTCACCCTGTCTGCTGTGGCGCGTGCTCAGACGCCGTCGGGGGCGTGGCCTGCGTGCCCTGCGGGGAGCGGAGGAGAGTTTAGGCCTGAATTCTAGTTGTCCCTTCGCCGGGCTTCAGCTCCCCGGCTTGTCAGCGGGGCGGTAACTCAGACGGCGGCGTACCGGCAGCTACCAGGGCCCGGCTGCGCAGAGTGGGGCCCCCTGCCCCAGTTAGAAGGCTGCGGGGGTTGGGGCTGCGCTACCGAAAGAGGGACTGTGCTGACGCCCAGTCTAAATGGGTGGGAGTATTTAAAGCGGTACAGTTTGCAGAGTGGATTCCTTGGCTTCAGGTCACCGGCTGCGGAGCGTAATGGAGTACTCGGCTAACCTGTGAGCCCGTTTGTCCTATTTTTAGTCGGGGTGGATGGACAGGATGAGTCATGCCTGGCTTTGGGCTTCAGCTGCTCCAGGCAGCCACCGCAGGGCAGGGAAGGCAAAAGCCCGGGGTGGCCAAGCTGGCTGTGATTCAGGGTCATCTGCCCCAGCTTCCTTAGACTGTTCTAACTCCAATCTTCTTAAGCTTTCCCCTTGGTGACTTTACCCCCCCAGCCCCTCCCCCTCTATGGGCAATACCTGATAGCAGAAGTGCCCTTCCTAGGACCAGAGACCATGGTTGGCTGGGCTCCGGAAGAAACATCTGTCTGCACATCCCACTTCCCCAGGTCTCTGCCTTTTTTGCCCTGCCTGTGCTGAGACCTCAGGCCTTGATCTTTCTTTGTTGCCCAATCGCCCTGCAGCTCCCCCCCCCACACACACACACACATTGTCCCAAATCTGAGAGTCCCCGAAAGCCCTCTGGAACCGTCTGTAGCCATCCCACTCTTGGGAGTGGGGCTTTCAGCCTCAACTTTTGTACCTGCCCATTTGAAGGCAGGCCCCTTGCTAACTTGGGTGGTCTCAGTGTCCTCCAGGGCCTGCCCTACTAAGGTTTGGAGGATGTAACTGGGTGGCTCCTAAGCTTAACTGAGGTTCACACAAGGTCTGGGAGTTCCTGGGCAGTCAGTCTTGGGACAGTCTATCTTGACCGCCATAGATGGAGACTGGAGATCAGAGGGGTGCTCTACCACCCCAGGTTAGACAGCATGAGGCAGCCACAGGCCAGTCATCCAGACAGAGGACTGGGCAGATGCCAGGCTGGGTTGCCACCTAAAGCTCTGCTGGCATGGGCCCACATCCCCATTCTCCACTCTTTGTAAATTGGGGCGGTGACAATAGGACCCTCCTCATAAATGTTGGGTAGTTTACTGGGGTAGGGGGTGGGATGGGCGTCCTTCTCTGACTTTCTGCAAGTCTCAGGGCCTCTCTGTGAGCCCCCTTTCCCATGAGGTTGCTTGTAGGATTGGAGAAGTCCCCACAGGCTCAACCCCTACCAGCAGCGCTTCCCGCCCCTCCTGCCCTAGGAGAGCTTCCCATGGAGCCCTGTCCCCATCCCCTCTTCCCCTCTGCCCTACTTCTGCAGGCTGACCATGGCAGAGTTCTCCCAGAAGCGGGGGAAGCGACATGATGATGCTGTGCTGGGCAGTGCGGTGGACTTCCTACTGGTCAATGCCCGCCTGGTGCTGGGCGTGGGTGCAGCTGCTATGCTGGGCATTGCCACCCTGGCTGTGAAGCGGGTAAGGCTGGCAGAGTCACCAGTGGGCTCACAGAGGAGACACAGGGCTGGGCAGGGCCTGGGGCCTGGGCACCTCCCCCAGCGCCTGGCTTATTGTACCCCTGGACCTTGCTTTACTGCACCTGCCTAGGCCTCAAATGCTCAGATCTGTGTCATTCTGCCTGTAGCTTATTGACAAGGCGACTAGCCCACGGGGTGAGGATGATGATGCCAAGGGTGAGTCTGCGTGCCTGGAGGATGAATGGAAGGAGCTGAGCCTTCTCAAGTCCACACCACGCCCACAGTCTCGGCCCCAGCCTGCTGCCCTCAGCCAGCCTATGTCCACCCCAGCTCCCTCGTCTGCTGTTCCAGGTGAGCGGCACCCCTTCCCTCGTGTCATGGGTGTGCCCCCCTCTGGTGACCACATCTGGGAGATGTAGCATGAATAGGGTCCTTGAGCCCCACCACTGGCTTCCATGTGACCCCAGGAAGTCACTGTCCCAGTCCCCAAAGTAAAAGAAGGTCATATTTCTCCTTACTTGTTAGTGCTAAAGTGATTTGGCAGCATCACAGGAAGGGTGTGAGAACCTGGGGGAAGCTTCAAATGGGGAAACAGAGACCAAGAGAGGGCAGGTCCTATCTGGGGGTAAAGGTAAAGCCAGAACCTGCATCTCCCAGTTCTGCAGGAAGATGTCTTAACTGTAGGGTAAGGGTGGTTGGAGATGGGGACAATGAGAACTTGTCACTGGACGTGAGGACCGTGCTATCATCCCCACTTTACAGGTGAGTGAAACAAGTCCAAGGTGTCATGTGGTAATGACCGGGTGAGGCCTTTACACGTGCCTGCCCTGCTGGGGGGTTGCTGATCCATTTCCCTGACCCCTTTGCTCTGCAGAGGGGCCTGGAGACACTGGTCCCTGGAGGCTCCCTCAGTGTGGCTCCCCAGCACCGTTATGCCTGACTTTCCAGGAGAAGCTGCTGGCATTCGAGAGGGACCATGTGGCCGTCCCAGCAGTTGATGTGACTGTGGCCCAGCAGCTAATCCGTGACATCAGCCTTGAGCTTCAGACTTTCCTGCAGAACAAGTTTCCAGAACTGCCCTTTGGGACCCTTGAGCCTGGGGGGCCCCTCTTTGATGGGCTTCAGGCTGGTGCTGCCGACCCTGTGCGCCTCCTGCTGCCACTGCAACTGGAGCCAGGCTTGTGGAAGCTGGTGCCAGGGGCTGACACCGTGGCCAGGGATGCTCGCTGCTGGGCTGTGCGCAGGACCCAACTGGAGTTCTGCCCTCGTGGGAGTAGCCCTTGGGACCGTTTCCTGGTGGGTGGCTATCTGTGTGCTCAGCTCCTACTTGAGCTGCTCCGCAAAGTGCTGGCCACTTCTGTCAATTGGCCGGCCATTGGCAGCCTTCTCGGGTGCCTCATCCGGCCCAGTGTGACCTCTGAGGAGTTGCTGCTTGAAGTACAGCAGGATTGCTGGGAACTCACAATCGCTGTCCTTCCTGCCTTGACTGGTGCTGGTGCCAACAACCATGTCCTTCTGGCCTGGCCCCTGGAGGGGCTGGCTGGGAACCTCTGGCTTCAGGACTTCTATCAGGTTGAGGCTACCAGGCTGCGGGCCCTGGATGACCAAGACGCTGGCACTCGTCAGCGACTTCTGCGGTTGCTTTGTTGTGTCTGCTACCGTCATCCGGCCCTGGGGCGACTGAGCCGGAGCCACCTCACCCAGGTGATGCTGCACCTGGGGGAAGAAGAGGTAGACTGGGCTGAGGCAGCCCTGGGGTCGCGCTTCCTGCAGGCCCTGGAGAAGCTCATCAGCAGCCTGGAGCAAGCCAGCCTGCCGTGTCACTTCAACCCCAGTGTGAACCTCTTTGGTGACCTGCCTGAGGAGGAAATTGACAGCATTGGCTATGTGCTGTACAGCGGCCTGCAGGCCCCTGAGTGGCTCCTTTGGGGGGGTGGCCAGCCCAGGTTCTGATGCTGGTGAGCAATGCACGCCTCCCTCCTGGGGCTTTGGAAAGTGCTTTTCTCTTGCCTTCAGCTAGAATAAAAGAGAGCATATTTCCTAAGCACATTGAAGTGGCAGGGGATTGGCTGCCTAGATCCACTCAGAGAGCTCGGGTTAATTAATGTTCCCTGTGCTCAGCCAGGCTGTCTCTGCAGCCTTGAGTGACAGCCACTTACCCCAGCTCCCCTGGGCTCAAGTCAATCATCACCAGCAATGGGAACTCACTGATGGAACGTGGCTTCTGCCTCCTAGCAGTAGAGGTCAGCCCGTTTTCCTACGGAGAGATCTAGCGCTTTCCCATGGTGCAGCTTCAGGGTATCTGGGGCTTCTGTACCAGCTGTTGACTGTCAGGGGCTTGCCCAGGGATGATGCCTTGTGCTCCCAAGGTAGGACTTTTGGCTGTTTGAGATATAAAGGTTTCCAAATGTCGTGTGTGTAGGCTCCATTGTAGCTACTGCTCTACCTGGCTGGAGAAGAGGCCAGGTGTGTAGACCCAGACTAGCCACATGCCACAGTGAACAGCTCGTGGCTGGTGTGTGTTCTGACTTAGGAGTGTCTGCTGTTTGGCAGCCTGGTGGAGGGTGGGTGGCAGCTATAGGAGTCTGCCTTCCTGCCCAGGTGCCTCCACATCTCTCAGATGCGCTTCCTGCTGAAACAAAGCTCTGTCTTGAAGAATGTGAACAAGAATAAAAAGGTACAATCCTTGTATGTGTGTGAGTCATGTGTTGGGGAGGGGTGGGTGGCACGCAGCTAGTGAGAGTTTTCTGAAAGTCCTGTAGCTCGGCCTAGCAGCCCCACTAGAGAGTGAGGGGTTAGCAAAGAAGTGGTAGGGCTTCTCTAGAAAAGTAGGTGAGAATCCCCAAAGATGCCTGGTGTGATCCCTGATGTGCTCACCAGCTTTCTGGGACAGGGAACTGCTCCCAGGTCCTCCAACTCTTGGTCAGCTTTCATGGGAAGGCAAATTCTCCACTTCTCTGCAAAGGTGGGAAAAACAGTTTTGAAGTAAGTACATCATAATGTCCTTGTAGAAGCTCACTTCCGTTCTCAACACGGATGACCAAGGAGGGCTTATCGTGGCTGTAGGAAGCCCGGGTGAACCTGGGACCATGTGTTCGGGGGGTATGGCTACCATAGCTGTCATGTACATGCCTGTTCCTTTTTATCCCCATCCTCGTCAATTTCCAGAAGTGACTGCTTCCCTTTTGAGTCATAGGGCAAGCAGAGAAAGGGGAGCAGGGTCCCAGTCCTCATTTGAGGGGCTGTCAGCCCTTTGGGAGGTGTGACTGCATTGGAAGCCTTGTCTAAGCTACCCCTGAAGGCACTGAGACAGGCTTGCAGACAGGCTTCATGGGCTCCACTGCTTACAGTTCAGAACTTGGGCCTCGACACAGAGAGCTCTGTACTTTAATGCAAGTTCCGGGGTGATGCTGCAGGATAAGCACTGAACTACCAAAAAGTTGGTAGTTCAAACCCACCAGCTGCTCCTTAGAAACCCTGCACACACAGGGTTTATGTACACAGGGCTGTTCTGAGTTGGAACTGACTTGAGGCCACCTAACAAGCAACAGCTGTAATGGCGGTAGGGGGTTGGCTAGGGCCTGTGATCATCTCATTGGTTCAGATAGGGCCTTCAGCTTCCATCATTGTCCTGGGGTTAGGAGGTGAGGTACTGGCTGTAGTGCTCACCAGTGTGACAGCAGCATCTTCACTGTGAGGCAATGCCAGAGCTCTGGTCACAGGATAGGATGCTGACTTCAGAGCCCACCTGAGACCGTCTGTTCTGTGGGAAGCTCTGAATTCCGCCCCCACATGCCATGGTTTGCATCATGTTTTCTTCTTCATGTAAACTCTGTAAACTCGTGCATGTTTCACATTCACCTTGCTGATCCATGCTGTGAAGGCTGTTTAGCGAGAAAAAGTGGTGTTTGTGGTTTCATCACTTACCCAAGGGAGCGTTTGTGACTTTAGTTGCTCTCCAGAGCAGAACTGGAAACAAACTACCATTTTACCAGGACCCTCACAGGCGCTCTTCTCTGGTGGGCTGGCCTAGGCCTGGGCTCTGCTGGTTGTAGGATCCACCATTGCTGGATTTCACTCATTCCTCTACACCAGGATGATGCCAACCTGTTAGTGGTTTTGGCCCAGGGCCTAAATGACTTAACATTAGCACCTTCAGCTAATGACACCAGAACAGGTCCTCCTACTCTTTTTTTGTAGCTTTAACAAGTGAACCAAAGGAGCTCTGGTAGTATAGTGGTTACAAGTTGGGCTTGCTGACCTCAAGGTCAGCTGTTTGAAACTACCAGTGGTTCCAGGGGAGAAAGATGAGGCTTTCTGCTCCCATAAAGATTTACAGCCTGGGAAACCCTGTACAGGGTCTCTAAGTTGGAAACGACTCCACAGCACACCAAGTGCACGAAGGACAGTTCTGGTGACTCGTAGTAAAGCAGTGATTCTAACTGCTAAGGATAAAGGGACTGGCAGTACACAAGCAAAAGTCATGCACATTGGACAACACAGGCTTTTTCATACCCTCTACTGTAACACAACTCTAGACTGAATCTCACCTACCAAATCTTGTTTGTAAATTAACTCAAAGGGACTTTCTCTTCAGGAATATTTAAACAGAAAACCCAAGAGTTACCATCAAGTCCAACTAGTGCTGACCCTATGTGTGTTAAGAGTAGAACTGCTCCATGGGGTTTTCAATGGCTGATTGTCCCCCAAGTAGCTTGTTTTCTGAGGCCCCTTTGGGCGGACTTGAACCACCACCATTTCTAGTAGTAGCTTAGTGTGTTGGCTGTTTGTACCACCCAGGGACTCCCAGGAATCCTTAAAAGCTGCAAAATAGTCTATCAAATGGGTATGCCATTTGCTTCCCCAAAGCTGACCAATTTTATTTAAATTTTTGCTATTATTAGATTTAAAAAAGGCTGTGTGCACACAAGCTTTGTCATTGGGAGATATTACTGGCAGCAGGGTCAAAGTGTTCAAATATTGTTAGGTTCCTGAAGGATCTTGACAAGTTGCATTCTAAAAGACTTCAGTTGGCCTGTTAAAAAACAAAGCCCCAAAGTAATGGCTGGAAATACAGCAGAACATTAGGAGGTTCAGGCGGAGCACACAAACACTTCCACCAGTTTTACTTCTACAGTACTGTACTTCCCCAATTTCTTTTCAAAAGATTTTCTCTAGAATAGAAGAATGAAAGTCGGTGTGTATCCCATCAGTGACACCTGGGTCTGTGACTTCACCCTGTCTGAGGTGTGCTAAGGAAACAAAACCCTATCAGTGTCAGCCCTAAAAGCTGAGCCATCGGTGTTGCCTTCTGTTGTGCTCAGGGTCACTGAGTTGGAACCGACTGGAAGGCACCTAACGACCACATACACATTCATGGGTCCAGTCCCCACTCTTCCTCCCACACTGTTCAGCCTGCATGTCTACCCATGCATCTATGTGTAGAGCAGTATTGTTTTTACAGTACTGTCTCTGCTGGAAACAACTGAAGTTTTGTTATGTTTGAAAGATGCTTTTTATGCTGTATCAGCTTTATTTCCTTTTTTTTTTTTAAAAAAACAAAACAGGAATGGACACTGAATTATATCAAGTGCTGTTTTGTTCTCAAAGTGATCTTGAAATTTTTTTTTTTTGGTAAATTAATGTGATGGAATTAATTTCTCAGTGTTGAGCCATCTGTAGTCTTAAGATTAGTCCTTTTTTGCTTAAGAGTGTTGCTAGTATTTTATTTGCTTTTTCATCAATTCTCATTTGGTCTATGGTTTTTATGGAGTTCTGGTGTGGTGCTACAGGATAAATACACTGACGGCAAGGTCAGTTTGAGTTGCAGGGTTGGCAGTTCAAACCCACCAGCCACTCCTCAGAAATGCTATACAGAGTCGGGACGCACTTAACAGCAACATGGTTTTGATGCATGTTCTATCTTTAGGTTTTGTTCTCAGGGTTTTGCAAATTTTGTGAAGTGAGTAATAAAACTCTACATATTATTATCCTCTTTTATAAAAAAAGAGAAAGAGCTGAGCCACCAGACATGGAGTCCTTGATGGGCCAGTTGACTCTGTGAAGGAAGAGACTGCTTTCCAAGCTGGTTTACAAGCCACACAGGTGACTGCTCCTGACTTGGAGCCCTATGCTCCTTTCCTCAACCCACCCCTGGCTCTTCTAACTTCACTCTGGGTGAGGCTGTTGTGGCCCAAGATTGACTCCTTTCCAAGAGTAAAGATCAGCCAACTGAAGGCATCAGGTGCCCTTCAAGCTTGCAGACAACAACGGGTGGCCTGGGAGTCAGGATTAGGCATAGCTGCATGTAACCATGGGTAATGGGTCCCCTCTGCTCATCAGTCTTGGACTCCAGGTAGCCAGTTGGGTATTCTTTGCTCAGTTTATTGCCTTCCCAAGAGCTCCTTGAGGCCAACTGGCACAGTGGTCTGAGCTGCAGGCTCACCCCCTGTTGACACCTATGGGTTTCAAATATAAACTCCAGGTGTGTAATCCAGTGGTCTGAGGGGATTTGCCCATGGTGGGTGGAAGGCGAAACGCTGCTGCCTTTATGTTGTGTGTAGCACAAGAAACTTATCTTGCTGATTTATCTTGGCCACAGCAAGGTCTGGAGGGAAGGTAGGTGACTTCAATCCCACCACCCTGACCTTGTATGTGGAACTGTAGATTAAGCACTGGATGGCAAGGCAGATTTGAACCACAAGATCGGCGCGGTGGTTCAAACTCACCAGCCACTCCTCAGAAACACTACACAGGGTCGCTCTGAGTAGGAACCGACTTGATGGCACTTAACCCTGAACTTAGGGCAGCAGTTTCTCCCCAGTGTCAGGGCCTGGCTAAGTGCAGCAGCCATGGAAGGAGAAGAGGATGTATTTTTAGACTGCACCTGCCCCAGCCATGTGTTTGAACAGAGGTGGCTTCCTTTCCCTGCTGCTGTCTGGGAGACCCCCGACTTGGGCATGGGAGCCCAAGGTGTAGGTGTGGTCTTAGAGGCTGGCTTTCACTTGCAGCTATGACGCCTTGGGGAGAGCCACCTCTCAGATACTCCATTTCACCTTTATGGACAGGAGGAGCAATGTCGGGGGAGGATGGAGGTTGAAAGCGTGCGCGTGAGATGCAGGTTCTAGTGTCCCGTCTGTAGTTATGGTGGGCATGCTCTTCCACATCTCACTTAAGCTGCAGAAGATGGGGTCCAACTGATGGGTTAAACTTTCTGGTTAGCTTCAGGTGGCCAAGGGCCAGCTCATTATTACATGGAATGCTGCTAGCCTGAGTGGGCCACCAAGATTGACTTGGAAAACTCTGAGACAAAATATTGGGACTTTTCACTGCAATTGGCCTTGACTATAACCCTCTACCAAAGGCTTTGAAGTTGACTAGAAACACCTGTTTGAGGTACCTGAGACCCAAAAAGTGCAGACACATTCAAGTTGGCACAGCAGGCCAGCAGAGAGCAAAGACCAGAGCCCAGGTCTGTTTGGGCGGCAATGGCCAACCCCTTGGTAAGTCTGATCCAGCAGTTATTGGTCCTGGCACAGACAGGAATTATGTGTGGGATGGTTACAAACCCCAAATGCCTCTATTATCCAGAAAACAGAAAGAACTCCTATAACTCAACAACAAAAAGGCAAGCAACCCAATTAATTAATGGGCAAAGTACTTGAAGACATTTTACCAAAGAGAGTATTCAATTGGCCAATAAGCACAGGAAAAAAGGTTCAGTGTCCTTAGTTATGAAGGAAATGCCAATGAAAACTCTAATGAGATACTACTTCAGCCCCACCACAATGGCTGCGACATTAATAAGGGAATATAACAAGTGTTGGCAGGATGCAGAGACACTGTGCAGACAGTGTGATGGTTCTTCAGTAGGTTACACATAGAGCTATCATATGGTCAGCGTCCTTGGGTGGCAATTAGGTGCTCGAATACTAGCCAGAAAGTTGGCAATTTGAACCCACCCAGAGGTACCTGACAGACTTAGTGATGTGCTTCTGAAAAGCCACAGCCACAGTGTGTTCTAGTCTGCACACATGAGGTTGTCAGAATCTTCTCAATGGTAACACCATACAGCCCAGTGACTGCATGCCTCAGCACCCAGGAAAACAGGAGTTTAGACACATGCTTGACTATGCTCATTCCAGCACTGTCCACAATAGTCAAAAGGCAGAAATAACTCAAATGTCCAACAGATGAATGAATAAACAAAATATGGGAATACAGTGGAATATTTTTAAAGGGAAATCACGACTGGAACATGCCAACGCATGGATGAACCCTGAAAACATGCTGAGTAAAAGAAGCCAGGCTGAAAAGGACAAATATTTCATTTATCATTATCAAATGGCTACAATGGGCAAATTGATAAGAGACAGAAAACAATGGTTGTCAGAGCTGGGGGAGAGATTATAAAAAGAAAAACACAAATACGTCGTCACCGCTCACACCCAATGATTCGGATGCTCTAGGAGCAAGTCCACGAACTAGTGTTGTAAGTTCTCCACCTTAATGCCCAGCCAGCGTGCCAGCTACTAATCTAAGAACAGTTCCAGTTTCTTCATCAACCAGCAGTGTGACTCTGGGCAACACACACTCCATTTGCCCCTGCCCCAGGAATCTGCTCTGCATGGAGGGACAAACAGTTTAGGAAGAGGGTCAGGAGGAAGCTGGGTTTGGGCTGGTCAGCGCTGGCTGATGTTTAGACCCAGGGCTCCTGCTAACAATCCCAGATGATGCTACCAGAATTCTTATGAAGGCACTTGACCTGTGGGGTACCATGACGCCAGTGGCCTCTAGTTGAAGATCCTCTGCAGACGCACGTCAGAACAAGAGCCGCATCCATGTACCAATGCTCTTCCCAGAATGCATGGGGAGAAGCCCTGTCCTGGTAGTGGGAAAGTAAGCACCAGGGTGGCTGCCCACCAGGGAGGAGGCCTGAAGGCAAGGAGGCCGTAAGGCTGAGTTTCACCTAGGATTCTGTTTCTACCTTCTTTCCACTGCAAGGGTTTACCTCCCCCTCCCCCGAAGCTGTCTGCTACCAGTCTCTCCTCCACGTGCTAACCCCACAGTCCTAAGCCTACAAGGCAGCAGCTCTAGGACTTCATGACAGCAGCAAAGTTCATTCCAGAGCCTGGGCAGAGGGCCACTTTACAGCTGAGGATGACTTCTTGGGAATGGTCAGACCCTGTACTCCTAGATGTGGTGGAGCAGGAGGGCAGGCTCCCAAAGTCAATGCATTCCTCTGGTTTCATGGGTAGTGAGTGATCAGCCCCTGGTCTTAGACCACTCAGATATTACAAGGGGGAGGACCAATGACAGGGTCCTTTCTATAGACCTTGACCTCATCTGTTCTGAGGACAGAAGGGACGGGTGTGCCCACACTGGTGGCAAAGACTGCATTTCCGAGGTTTCTTTGCCAAATATCCAGTATCAGAGGAACTGGCCCGTGGCCTTTTGCTTCTGGCCTCTGGCCCCTGGGTTACTCCTCTGTCTCCTGGCCAGGGTGGGGCTCCAAAGGATCCTGTGAGAAAAGTTGGGAAGGGAAAGTTTAGAACTGATACACTAAAGCATGGTTGTACAGGACGATGCCTGGTGGATGGAGGGCATGGGCCAAGTACTTCCCACGTGGCAGGAAGCTTTATCCATTACAATGTGAGTGAGTGTGCAGCACTTCACACTGCACAGCCCCTCCCCTTTAAGGACATGCAGCTCTTCCTCCAGACTCACCTACAAAAGCAGTAGCCACGCCAACAACAGGCCCCTGGACATGCAGCGAGGCAACAAAAACAGGTGGACAAACCCGTCCACGTGCTCACCCCACTTCCAGGCAAGTCCTTGACCCTCCTAGTTTCTTACCAGGCCTTGCTGCTAAGTTACCTGGGACACTAGTCAGCTGGCATGGAGGCCAGACCCCCCCTCTCTTTTGACTAGAGGAAAGGGGACCCTCACATATTTCAAGTGTGTAAAAAGCAGGGCTGGCTGTATCTTGCACACACTTTGAATGTGGTTCCAGCACAGCAGTGACCATTCCTGGGCTGAGGATATGTCCAGCGAAGTTTACAAAGACCACAAGGAACCTGTGGAACCAGCAGCCCAGTGTTCCACTCTTGTCTCTGTCACTCTGTAACCCGAAGCAGGTCACACCATCTGTCTGGGCTTACTTTCTCATTTGTCAGTTGGGGACAGCAATGCTTACTGGGTGGAGATGAAAGAAGACACATACAGAATGTATCAGCAGAGTGTCAGCTGCTGGCAGCAATCCTCTACTTGGGAGGAAACCTAGCTCCTGTAAGCCCTTGTGCTCCCCACCCCTCCCCTCAGCCTTATCCCTGCCCCAGAGATGACACGCTGCACCTGTCTCACCTGGGGCTGCATTCTCATCGGCCCACTGGAAGAAGCCGCACTGCTGTTCTCTGGGCTTGGAACATGTGTGGAACTGGCGCCCCTTGTTGGGCCCGTTCTTCTGCACAGTCCTTGTGACGGCTGGCTGGCTGCACAGACAGGCGGTACCACCACCACCATCGCCTGGCCTGCCAAGCCCACCCAGGTGGCTCCCTGAATCCAGCGCTCCTCCTAAGGAGCTTCCAGGGAGTCTCACTGTGGAGGAAAGAGGCCCTGTTGTGCTGGGTGGGCTGCTGTGGGCCCATAGGAAGAAGCTGCAGCTGCCCCTGCTGCACTTGTAGAACTGGCGGCCCTGATTAGGGCCCTCCTTCCGCACGGTGAGCAGCAAGGCCTCCTGGCCGCAGTTGCAAGTTACAGAGTTGCTTTCGGCAGTGGTCAGAGCCCGTGGAGGTCCAGACTGTATGTTGCCAGGAGGCTGGGGGTGGCTGTGCTGGCTTTTGTCCATTCTGTTCAGGGACTGGCTGGCCGTCTGGAGAGCTTGGCGGGGCCCTCCAGAGAATCTTAGGTCCAAGACCTCCCTCAGGGTCTCGTCACACCCGCCAATGCAGCCGACGAGCTCCAGTGGCATGGTCAAGGGGACGCTGCCACGCTTGAACTTCAGTTTCAACCTAGTAAGACCAGAGATAAGGAAACCAATGAAGACCCAGATCAGACATCTTCTCAGTCCACAGTACAGTCCCCATGCTCGGCCTCTCCATCAGTCCTCAGTCCATGAGTCCCAGGAATCCCAGGCATACTGAGAAGTCACAACACTCCCCAGTTTCCCTAAGAGCACAGACTAGGAGAACACCTGGTAGCCAAGAGCTTGGACTAACCACCGAAACAGCCACCTCGAGTTGCTAAGAGTGCTGGGACACCAGCCGTGCTCGGGGGGCCCTTTCCAGGTAAGGTGACAGCTGCTCTACAACAATGATAACAGTGACGTCTGTCTGCACCTCAAGCTTTTGCCTGCGTAGTGTTTTCCAGAGGTGACAACTCTTGTGATAGCTCTGCAAACTGGACCCAGAAGCAGGCAGGAAGCAGTCTATTAACCTAGACTTTACACCTGCAAATGTATAATTCCTTTTTTTCTTTTGGTTTTGGAAAAATAGCAATTGTGCTTAAATCACGTAATTTATGTTAATGTGCAATGTGTTTGTTTAATTTTTAAAAATAAATATTTTTAAAGAAATCTCCTTAAAAAGTCTTATTATGGCAAATATTGACAGTTATAACAACAAATGATGTGTTAATAAGCATGCAAAGAGGTCTTGTGGGAGCAGAATGTTTGAGAACCACTGTCTATACTAGGGCCTGGTGGCAAAGTGGTGTAGCACTGGGCTGCCAACTGAAAGGTCAGTAGTTTGAATCCAGTAGCTGCTCTGTGGAAAAAAATGTGGCAGCTTATTTCTGTTAAGATTTGGATTGTCCAAAAATCTGTCCTACAGGCTTACTATGGTTGTAGTTGACTTGGAGGCAATGGTTCTGTCTGCTCTGCTTTGGGGAGAGTGAGCACGTTGCGAAGCCCAACATAGCAATGGCCTCTCTGGAAAGGGCCGGGCGAGCTGGCTCCTGAGTTCAGTCACAGTGGGTTTGGGTTTCCCCCTGCCTGGGCAGGAGAGGCGGCCAGGCCTGGGTGCCTGCTTACCTGGGTATCTCTTCTCTGTGCTCAGATAGGAGTAAGACCGTTTGAAGCATGCCCAATGCCCACTCACCTGTACACAGGCTGCGGTTGACACACGGGACACACACTCTTGTCCCTGCTGGCTTCCAGGATGGAATCAGGAAACCAGACAGCTGACTGACACTCTGGGAAACCCGTGCAGCTGAGATAGAACCTGGGGGTCAGAGTGAAGGGTCAGGAAGGGCCCACAGGTCACGTAAAGGCTTTCTCTGTCCAGCAGGCTGCCTCAGGGAAGTCTCCCTCAGCTGATACTGGAGGACACATAGCCATTGCACAGTGACTGACAGGGAGGGACCTAGGAAAACTTGTTGCTCTTCTGAAGTGCTGTTGAGTTTGTTCTGACTCATAGTGACCCTGTATAGAGCTTCCAAGGAGCAGTTGGTAGGCTTGAACTGCTGACGTTATGGTTAGCAGCCCAGTTGTTGTTAAGTGCTGTTGAGTCAGTTCCGACTTATAGCTACCATGTATATAGAGTTTCTGAGGAGTGGCTGGTGAGCTTGAACAGCCAACTTTGTGGTTCAAACTGACCTTGCAGTCCAGCGCACTAATCCAGAGCGCCCACTGGGACTCCAGCAGCCCAGCAGCTTATGCTACACAGATGTGCTGACAGAACGTTTCTGTGAACTGTTGCTCTCAGGTGCTGTGCTGTGTACTCCCACCATCTCATTTCTTCTTCATCACAGTCCTGGCACTGGGCTGGGGAGGGCCAGGGAGTAGGGACTGTCACAGTGCTTGGGACCCCACCTCCGAGTAGACCAGAGATGGGAAGGGTCTGCTAAACTACCTAGGGCATCTACTAGTAAGCAGGGATGTTGGACTGGACACCGTGACTCACTCCTTACACCACATCTTTCTCAGACAACAGTTCTTGAAGTCCAGTCATAAAACTAGGGTTACACTAGCTAACATGCATATGATTTATACTTTCTTTTGAGTGTGCCTGGGTGTGACTAGACCAGCAAAAAAAAAACCATCCCCCAATTATTACAAAAGCAAGTATTCACTCCCCCTTATTTAAACTTGAAGTGTCATCCTGTGACACCTGAGGTGGGCTGTGTCAAAGGAGAGTCAGTGAAGATGTGGGCCAAATTCTACATTTATTGCTAAGGTTTGTGGTGAAGTATCACCACTAGATAGTCAACCACAGGTAAGCAGTTCAAACCCACCAGCTGCTCTTCGGAAACCCTACACAGGGTTGCTATTAGTCAGAACCAACTCAATGATACTTAACAAGGTTCCCTAGGAGTCCTGGTGTAGTGCTGTGGGATCAGCACTGCATTGCAAACCACAAGGTCAGAGGTTCAAACCCACCAGCTGATCCTTGGAAACCCAGAGTGGGGACTTGATGGCCCTTCACAACAAGGCTTCCTGAGCCTGAGCAAGCCACTGGGGTACACATGGCCTTACAGAGTGACCGTTGGGCGCCAGTGGGATAATGTGCCGTGCTAGCAAATCACAAATGTGGTGTTCCTCACTCTCCTTCCTCTATAAACTTCCCCCAGAGGCCAGGCGCTAGTGAGGCACCTTGGGCAACCTGATTTTCAGGATAAACGTCTGCACTGAAAATGACAAGGGATTTGAGATTTCAGAGCCCAAACCAGACGAATAGTATTGTTGAATGCCATATTGTATCAGGCAGTGTGTTAAGACTCTTGACCTCTTTGTTTATTCTATTCTTCATCCTTGTTGTTATGTGCTGTGGAGACGGTTCGACTCATAGCGACCCTGCACAGGGTTTCCGAGGCTGTAAATCTTTACGGGAGCAGAAAGCCTCATCTTTCTCCTGTGGAACAGCTGGTAGTTTCAAACTGCTGACCATGAGATTAGCAGCCCGATTCGTAACCACTGCGCTACCAGAGCTCCTTTACCACATATTAATGAGGTGGTAACTATTGCCCTCTACCACTCGTCTGTCCGTTTGTCATACTTGGTGGCTTTAATGTTGCTGTGATGCTGGAAGCTATGCCACTGGTTTTTGGAACACCAGCAGAGTCACCCTTAGTGGACAGGTTTCAGAGGGGCTTCAAGATAAAGACAGGCTAGGAAGAAGCAGAGGTGGACTACTTCTGAATGTTTAGCCACGGAAAGTCTTATGAATAGCAGAGGAACGTCGTCAGTGACAGAAGATTATGAATAACTCCAGAATATTGTCGACTACACTGCTGGAAGATGAACCCTCAGGTTGGAAGGCACTCAAAATGTAACTGAGGAAGAGCTGCCTCCTCATAGTAGAGTGGACTGTGATGACGCAAATGGAATAAAGCTTCCAGGGCCTTAATTTGCTGATGGGGCACAAACTCAAAATGGGGAGAAATGGCTATAAACATCCATGAATACTAAGAACTTAAAATGTATGACATTTCAAGCGAGGAAAATTGGAAGTTGTTAAGAATTAATGCATAAAGGTTGATATCCTAGGCATTAGTCAGCTGAAATGGAATGGCACTGGTTATTTTCAATCTGACAATCATATGGTTTACTATGCCAGGAATAACAAATTCAAGAGGACTGGCATAGCACTCATCAAAAAGAACATTTCAAGATCGATCCTGAAAGACAACGCTGTCTGCAATAGGGTAATATCCATAGGCCTACAAGGAAAACCGGGAAGCGTGGTGGTTCTCTACAAAAAAAACTGGATTGTGAATCACAAGGACCATGGTTTGAGCCTGCCAGCTGATGGAGGACTCCTGTGAATATTTAAAGCCTTGAAAACCCTACACAGGGTTGCTATGAGTCGGAACTGACTTGAAGATACCAACAACAATAACAACAAGAAACACCTGTCAGTATTACTATTCCTCAAATGTATACACCAACCACTAAAGCCAGTGATGCTGAAACGGAAGCATTCTACCAACTTTTTCAGTCTGAAATTAGTCAAATATGCAATCAAGATGCAATGATAAATACTAGTGATTGGAATGACAACATTAGAAACAAAAAGGAAGAATCATTAGTTGGAAAATATGGTCTTGGTGACAAAAACGATGGTGATTGCATGATAGAATTCTGCAAGACCAATGATTTAGTCATTGCAAATAACTTTTCAAAACAACATAAAAGGCAATTACAGATATGGACCTCACCAGATGGAATATAGAAGAATCAACTGACTACATCTGTGGAAAGAGATGGTGGACAAGCTCATTATCAGCCAGAACAATGCCAGGAACCAATTATCAGTTGCTCATATGCAAGTTCAGGCTGAAGCTGAAGAAAATTAAAACAAGTCTATGAGAGTCAAAATATGACCTTGAAATATTCCATCTGACCATCTCAAGAACAGATTTGATGCATTACACACTAATGACAGAAGAGCTGTGGGATGACATCAAGACCATCATACAGAAGAAACAAAAGATCATTAAAAAGACATGAAAGAAAGAAAAGACCCAAAATGGATGTCAAAATAGTTTATGAAACTTGCTCTCCAGCATAGAGATACTAAAGCGAATAAAAGAAATGAGGAAGTAAAAGAGTTGAACAGAAAATTTCAAAGGGCAGCTTGAAATTTAAGTCAAAGACAAAGTTAACTATATGGAAATGTGCAAAGACCTGGAGTTAGAAACCCAAAAAGAAAGAACACGCTCAGTATTTCTCAAACTGAAGTAACTGAGGCAAAAATAAGACTGGACTTGGCAATACTGAAGCATTCTGTGGACAAAATACTGAATGATGCAGAAAATATCAAGAGAAAAAGGAAGTTATACACAAATTCACTGTATCAGAAAGAAATGGTCGATGCTCGACCATTTCAAGAAGTAGCTTATGTTCAAGAACCAATTATACTGGGGGGAAGTCTTTGCTGGTTGTTGGGTAGTTGTTGATGGGTGGGGGGAAGGGGGAAGGGTGGAGCGCAGGGTGGTGATTGGACACAGGAGAGCTTGGGTGCTACGGAGGGGGCCAATATACAGGGAGGGAGAGGGAAGTGGAGAAATGGGGCAGATGGGAGAACAATTGGGCATGTTCGAAAGGGCTAAATGGGACAGAGATGAAGGACGATATATGCATAGCCTTGGAACGGCAGGGCTCTGAGATACAGGGATTGAGTCATGGTTGGAATGGTGGGGGGAATCATGTTAAGATGCTTGACTGTTTTTTGTTTGTTTTAATCTTCGTTTCCCTCGCATTATAATATAGAGTAGAAACTGGAGAGGGAGAGAAAGGAATAGTCAGAAACACCACACTAAAAGGCTTGTAAGTCCATCTTCTGTCTATGAATGACTGGAATACCTAAAATGGGGCTACAGCGTACCCAGTGAACGAGGCTTCTTGCGGACCCTTTGCAATACATAAAACTATAGGTAGAAACCAGAACCACATCCAGATCTCCAGAGATGAGAAATCTCTACTTGAAAGGATGAGCAGACCAACCTGGAGCAGCTAGAAGAATAAAAGATACCTCTTGAAAGAAAGACCTGCAGGAAAATGGAGGCAGAAGGACTGTTACTACAAGAGCAAACAAATCGCTTCCCTAGGAAACATCAAGGCAAGTGGCCAGGTCCTCTCAACGCAAACCCCCCTCCAAGACTAAGACTCAATGGAAATGCACACTCTGATTGGTGACC